CTCTGATCATCTTGTATGTCTCTATTAAGTCACCTCTTAACCTTCTTCTCTCTAACAAAAACAGCCTCAAGTCCCTCAGCCTTTCCTCATAAGACCTTCCCTCCATACCAGGCAACATCCTGGTAAATCCAGCCTCTGGTAGGGGGTTGCCTTTCTACACGAAATGGACAGCAGCAATTCAAGTAGACCCAAGAGGTTGAGAGGGAGGCAGTTCCAGGATTTTGACCCAGTGACAGTGAAGGAATGACAACGTATTTCCAAGTCGGGATGGTGTGTGACTTGGAGTGGACCTTTCAGGTAGTGGTGTTCCCATGTGTTTGCTGCCCTTAGCCTTCTTGATGGAAGTGGTCATATTTGGGAAGGTATTAAAGGAGCCTTGGTGAATTTCTGCAGTGCAGATTCAGTATGTGGAAGTACCTATCAGAGAAAGTTCAAAACTTGACCTACTCTTGGGAAAAAGGGCAGGCCAGGTGACTGACCTGTCAGTGAAGGAGCACTTTGGGGCAAGTGACCATAATACTATTAGTTTTAAAATAGTGATTGACAAGGACAGACTGGATCTAAAAGTTAAAGTTCTAATTTGGAGGAAGGTCACTTTTGACAGCATTAAGCAAGAACTTTCAAAAGTTGATTGGGCTATTCACAGGTAAAGGGATGGTTGGAAAGTAGGAGGCCTTCAAAAATGAGTCTAAAGACATTATGTTGCTGTTAGTGTGAAGGGCAAGGCTGCTATGTGCAGGGAATGCTGAATGACTAGCAAAATTGAGGTTTTGGGTAAGAATAAGAAGGAAACATACGTCGGGTACAGACAGCAGACATCGAGTGAATCCCTAGAAGAGTATAAAAGCAGTAGGAGTGTACTTAAGAGGGAAATCAGGAGGGCAAAAATGGGGCATGGGATAGCTGTAGCAAATTGGGTTAAAGAGAATCCAAAGGGATTCTACAAATACAATTAGGACAAAAGGGTAACTAGGGAGAGAATAGGCCCCCTTAAAGAATAGCAAGGCCATCTATAAGTGGAACTGCAGTAGATGGGGGGAGTCTAAACGAGTATTTTGCATCAGTGTTTACTTTGGAGAAGGGTATGGAAGATAGAGAATGCAGGGAAATAAATAGCAACATCTTGAAAAGTATCCATATTACAGAGGAGGTGGTGCTGGAAATCTTAAAATGCATAATGGTTTATAAATCAGGAACTGATCAGATTTACCGTAGAACTCTATGGGAAGGTAAAGAAGTAATTGCTGGGCCCCATGCTGAGATATTTGTATCATCGATAGCCACAGGTGAGGTGCCGAAAGACTGGAGGTTGGCTAACATGGGTCCGCTATATAAATAAGGTGGTAAGGAAAAGCCAGGGAACTATAGACCGGTGAGCCTGACATCGGTGGTGGACAAGTTGTTGGAGGGAATCCTGAGGGACAGAATTTACATGTATTTGAAAAGGCAAGGACTGATTAGGGATAGTCAACATGACGTCGTGCATGGGAAATTGTGTCTCACTAACTTGATTGAGGTTTTTGAAGAAGTAACAAAGAGGATTGATGAGGGCAGAGTGGTGGACGTGATCTATATGGACTTCAGTAGGGTGTTCGACAAGGTTCCTCACGATGGACTAGTTAGCAAGGTTATATCACATGGAATAGAGATAGAACTAGCCATTTGGAAACAGAACTGGCTTGAAAGTAGAAGTTGGAGGTTGCTGGTGGAAGGTCACTTTTCAGACTGGAGCCCAAGACAGTGGTGTGCCACAAGGATCGGTGCTGAGTCCACTACTTTTTGTCATTTATATAAATGATATAGATGTGAACACAGGAGATATGGTTACTAAGTTTGCAGTTGACACCAAAATGGGAGGCGTAGTGGACAGCGAAGAAGGTTACCTGAGAGTACAATAAGATCTTGATCAGATGGGCCAATGGGCTGAGGAGTGGCAGATGGAGTTTAATTTAGATAAATGTGAGGTGTTGTATTTTGGAAAGGCAGACAAGTGTAGGACTTATACATTTAACAGTAAGGTCCTGGGGAGGGTTGCTGAACAAAGAGGACTTGGACTACAGGTTCAAAGTTCCTTGAAAGTGGAGTCGCAGGTAGATAGGATAATGAAGAAGGTGTTTGGTATGCTTGCCTTTGTTGGTCAGTGCACTGAGTATAGCAGTTGGGAGGTCAGGGTGCCGGCTTAGAGGACATTAGTTAGGCCACTATTGGAATACTATGTGCAATTCTGGTTTCCCTGCTATAGTAAGGATGTTGTGAAACTTGAAAGAGTTCAGAAAAGATTTACAAAGATGTCACCAGGGTTGGAGGGTTTGATCTATGGGGAGAGGCTGAATAGATTGGGGCTATTTTCCCTGGAGCGTCGGAGGCTGAGGAGTGACGTTATAGAGGTTTAAAAAATCATCATGAGGGGCATGGATAGGGTAAATAGATGTCTTTTCTCCGGGGTGAGGGAGTCCAAAACTAGAAGGCACAGGTTTAAGGTGAGAGGGGAAAGATTTAAAAGGGATCTAAAGTGCAACTTAGGAAGTGGTGAAGGCTGGATCGATTACAACATTTAAAATGCATTTGGATGGGTATATGAATAGGAATGGTTTAGAGAGCTATGAGCCAAATGGGACTAGATTTACTTAGGATATTTGGTTAGCATGGACGAGTTGGACAATAGGATCTGTTTCTGTGCTGTACTTCTCTATGACTTTATCTTGTCGATGATGCACACTACTGCTACTGAGTGACGGTGGTGGAGTGACTGAATGTTTGTGGATATGGTGGCTATCAAATGGCTAATTTGTCATGGATAGCATCGAGCTTTGAGTGTTGTTGGAGCTGTAGCCATCCAGGCAAGTGGACAGTATCATACTCCTGACTGTACATTGTAGAAGATGGACAGGCTTTGAAGAGTTAGAATTTCTCACCTCAGACCTGCTCTTGTAGACTCTCATACAGTGCTTACAAGCTCTTAAACCACTTTCTGTATAATTCAACCTTGAGGTGAGATCTTCATTCTGTGAAACCGGGACCAATTTCCAATCAATGACTTTAGCATTGCTTTTTGGTCAAAAATTCTAATTTACTACAGCAAAGGCACAGGATGACTGGTACTAATATAACATATAAATATTGACTACATCAAGCTATAAGTAGCTGAAGTATATCAATTTCAGAAAGTGACCAAAACTAATGCCATAAATATACAAATTGTTAATTGAATGCAGTACAGCATTCAGTCAGATCTTCTTAAAGATTTATATTATTCATTGACTAATTAAACTAATTATTATTTACTCTTAGAGTGGTTAAAATGTGGAACTCACTATCACTAGGAATAGTTGAGATAATTAGCATAGATATATTCAAGGAAAAAGTAGATAAATGGAACAAAATAGAGGTAGAAGGAACCTGGCGTGGACCAAAAACACTAGCATTGAATCATTGGGCTAAATGGCTAGGTTCTGTGCTGTATGTTCTATCTGCATTTTCTTTGTCAATGTAACTCATATTTTATCATTTTTATTTGGACACTTTGAGTTTCTCTTGTTCTTGTGTCTTTTCATCCAATTCTTTTTGCTTATTACAGATCTCTGTATGGGAATGATAACAAAATCAAGATGCAAATGTGCGAAAGCTACCTCTAAATTCATTTGTCCAAAAATATGGCAAGATGTCAGTATCTTTAACCAGGGGTCGTTCTGCAGGAAAGTGGAAATTGTGTAAGTCCCAAAGCAAACTGTGTTTCCTTAATTGTTGCAACATTAAACTGCTCAAATCGAAACAAAATAAAACTTCTAAAGATAAAACCGTTGAATTAATTTTGAATTAATTTACACCCAGTCAAACCAGAAAACAGGACCATATTTTCCAGATTTCAATGGTCAAATCTGAATCATGTTTACTTTCGGCACTTGAAGCAGTTGCTGACTGGAACATAATGCCTTCACTGTTCCAGTAAACTCCTGCAGATGGGCCAGAGATCTTTCAGAACGGCTGCAAACTTCACAAAGACTCATAAATGTTGGGTACAAGCCATTAGACATTGCTTTCATGACAGCTTCTATCCTTCATATACCCCAGTAATGTCAATGATGTAAGAGGATGCAAATATGGCAGCACAGGCCATCTCCAACAAGACAATGTCTAATCATCTCCCTTGAACATTCAACAGCATTACCATCACTAAAACCCACGCCATTAATACCCTGACAGTGTACTCACTTCAATCTTTGAAAAATTGTGAGTATCACAACCTAATCAATCAACATGATAGGCTGTAAGGTTAATCAGAATTTGAGCCTGGATATATAGAGCAAAACCATACAACCGTTTCAAAGATAGTAGGAACTGCCGACGCTGGAGAATCTGAGACAACAAGGTGTAGAGCTGGATGAACACAGCAGGCCAAGCAGCATCAGAGGAGCAGGAAAGCTGATATTTCGGGTCTAGACACTTCTTCAGAAATGGGGGAGGGGAAGGGGATTCTGAAATAAATAGGGAGAAAGGGGGAGGCGGATATAAGATGGATAAAGGAGAAGATAGATGGGAGAGGAGACAGACAGGTCAAGGAGGCAGAGTTGGAGCCAGTAAAGGTGAGAGTGTAGGTGGGGAGTTAGGGAAGGGATAGGTCGGTCCAGGGAGGACAGACAGGTCAAGGAGACGGGATGAGGCTAGTAGGTAGGAGATGGGGGTGGGGCTTGAGGTGGGAGGAGTGGATAGGTGGGAGGACAGGTTAGGGAGGCGGGGATGAGCTGGGCTGGTTTTGGGATGCGGTCAGGGAGGGGAGATTTTGAAGCTTGTGAAGCCCACATTGATACCATTGGGCTGCAGTGTTCCCAAGCGAAATATGAGATGCTGTTTCTGCAACCTTTGGGTGGCATCGTTGTGGCACTGCAGGAGACCCAGGATGGACATGTCATCTGAGGAGTGGGAGGGGGAGTTGAAATGGTTTGCGATTGGGAGGTGCAGTTGTTTGGTGCAAACCTAGCGTAGGCGTTCCGCAAAGCAGTCCCCAAGCTTCTGCTTGGTTTCCCCGAAACCAACTGTTTCAATTTGTGGAATAATGACATCCATGAAAATCATAATGGTGCAACTGATCACACTCTTCCAACAACTGTAAGTGACAAGACACCAGTCTAGAATGAGCATGTGAAGAGAGGGGTCCTAGACAGTACAGTAGTGAGCTGTATTTGAGAACCTATGGGCAGAAGTAAACAAGGAGTGTTAAAATTCATAAAGGAATAGAGTCTTACTTGGAGATAAAGGAAACAACCTGGAGGACAGTATATGTGCAGACATCTACGGATCAGAGATACTCCAGCCTGATAGCTCAATGTGCAAGTAGCACTTAAAGTACAGTCCAGGATGACTGATGTGTGAACTGTTTGTTCTTCCATTTCTTGATGCCCAAATCTTTTCAACTTATCTAACCATTCTGGCTTGTTTGACTAAAATCTTCATTGAGAGTTCTTTACTGTCACCAGCTACACATAACTCTCCCAAAGTCTCTTACTTATATTGTTTTTCAGAGGCAGACATTTGATCGATTTCAAAGTTTCCCATAAAATGCCAAGCTTTTTCTAAACCTCGGGTTGAAAATCTCACATTTATTCTCATTTATCTATTTGCTTCTTAAGTCTTCACACATGTATTCTGGCTTCAATCAATATTATCTCACATTTTTCCTTATGACATCTCAAGCTGTTTGTGTTAACAAGCTGTTCGCAATGGTTATTCAGTTCAGCTATTCTTATTCCATAGCAGGAGATGGAACAAATGGTGTTTTTCACTGAAGTGACTTCTATTGTGCTTCCGCAGACTCATGAACTTAAATTTCAGTGTACTCCTAATCAAGCAAAGTTGAATGAAAAGCCTTTATTGAGTTTTATGCTAAGATTGTTAGCTTTAAGTAACTAGCAGCTGCTGTCCCTGAGGTTCTCCATGGGTTCATTTTCAGGTAATACCATCGCCCTCATCTAAGATATCATTCAGCTAGTTTGGTTTCCCAGAAAAGGAACCTTGAGCAGTTGACAATAAAACAAAATGTGCAGCAATAACTAATCATTTACCTATTTCAAGCTGAATAAATGTATGTACATGCTAGACAATTGGCTAGATTTTCATAGGAGTTACCATTGAACAGAAACATAACTTGAATCATTCAAATTGACAGTATGGCAGCAAGAGCAGGTTGGAAGTTGGGAATTCTTGGGCAAATAACTCCCCTCTTGGTTCTTCAAACCCTGTACGTCATAGATAAGGCACTTCAGGAGACTTCTAGATTACACTCCACCTGCTTGAATAAATCCAGCTCCAACAACACGCAAGAAGCTCAGCACAGTCCAGAACAAAGCAGCCCACTTGATTGGTATCACATTCACCACATTTTAAAAGATTTCCTTCCTTCATCACCTGCACACAATGGCAGCACGGCAGCAACTTATCTAGTTTCCTTCGAAAGCACCTTCCAAACTCTCAACCTCCGCCATCTAAAAGGACAAGGGCACCAGAGGCATTGGGAACAACATCCTTTGAGAGTTTCCTTCCAAATCATATACCATTCTGATATTGTCATTCCTTCACTGCTGCCGTGTCAAAAAAAGATGCAATTCCCTTCCAATTAGTACTATGCCTTTATTTCCATCAGATGGACTGCATAAGTCCAAGGCAGTTGCTCATTACCAACTTCTGAAGCAGCGGACCAACAAATGTCGTTAATATCACATTAAAGAATTTCAAAATGCTGCCTACATGCATTAAACACAAAGTGAGAATGCAGCTATAGAAATAATTAGGAAAACAAGTGAAATGTTGGTTTTATTGGCCTCACTGTCACTGCGTCAAAATCCTGGAATACCCACCCCAGAAGCACCATGGCTCTAGCTACACCCCAAAGACTGCAGTACATCATCTCACCTCCAGGGCAATTAGGCATGGAAAGTAAGAACTGGCCTAAAATTTATGAACAAGTGCGTGTTTTATTCCAAATAAAACAAATGAACTAAGAATGGAAATAGAAATAAATAAGCATATTGTGGTGAACATTTCAGAAACATGATTGTAGTGTGACATGGATTGGGATCTGAATCAGCGAGCACAGAATGTTTAAGAATTACAGAAAGCTATGAAAAGGTGGAGGGATGGGTCTGTTAGTTAATTATGCCATTGACACAGTGTTAACCTAAATTCAGGAAACTAGGATATGGAAATAGTTGAGATGAGAAATGGATAAAGACAAGGTCATTTATGCCAATTATGTAGACAGCACCTAACTGAAAACACACTGTAGGGTAGAGCATAAAGGAAGAAATAATGGGAGCTTGTCAGAAAAACACTGCAGTAATGATTCAAGATGTTAACCTCCATATAGACTGAAAATGTCAGATGAGCAAGGGTAGCTTGGATGAAGAATCAAAAGAATGTTCTAAGAATCTATCCTGAAAACAGCATATTCTGGAGCTAACCAGAGACCAGGCTGTACTAAACCTGGTACTGCGCAACGACACAGGATTGATTAATGATCCCATAGTGAAGGCAACTTAAATAGTAGTAACGATTGTATAATTCAATTTTACAGTCAGTATGAGGGAGATGGGAGTGGATCCAAGACTATATTTTTAAAGTAAATAAGAGCATTACAAGGGTATGATAGCAGAGTTGACTAAAGTGAATTTGCAAATTAGGTGAAAAGGTGGAGATATTGTGGTAGACATTTAATGTGTAAGGAAAATTCTAAACAGGCAGACCCACCATTGCTGGTTAATTAGAAAGGTTAGAGATACCATCAGAATTGAAGAAAAAGCATGTAATTGTGCAATTACAGGCAGAAAGAGATTGGACAGAATATTTTTGATAAAATGAAGAATGGTTACAAAAGGAGGGGAAAATTAGAGAATGAGGGAAAAGCTAACCAAAAATGTATAAACAGAAAATAAGTGTTTATATAAATATTCGGAAAAGACGTAACAAAATAAGAATGGACCCTACAGAAAATGAGCCTGGAGAATTATAGATGGAAAATAAAGAGATGGCAGATGAATTGAACAGGTATGTTACATCAGCCTTCACTAGGCAGGATACAAGGACATCCCAGAAGCAGCAATAAATCAGGAAACAGGAGGGAAGAACTCGTGAAAATTGCAATCACTATTGAAATGGTACTGAGTAAATTGTTAGAGCTGTGGGCTATCAAGTGCATTGGCCCAAATGAACTTCATCCTATGATCTTAAAAGGAAGTGACTAGTGAAGGAAGTTGATGAATTGGTTTCAATTTTCCAAAATACCCTTAATTCACATTTGAAGATAACTCCATTATTCAAAATACAGGAAACTGCAGGCCGGTTAGCTTAACATCTGTCACAGAGAAATAAAAGCATCTATTCATAGAAAAGTTATAACGGGACACTTAGAGAAGTTCAATAATCAGACAGAGTGAACATAGTTTTGTGAAGGGTAAATCATGTTTAAACAATCAATTGAAATTATTTTAGTAAGTAATATGTGCTATTGATAAAGGAAAACCAATAGATGTACTCTCCTTAAATTTCCAGAAAGCATTTGATAAAGATATTGCAGAAAATAAGAACTCATGTTGTAGGGGGAAGCACACTAGTACAAAGAGAAGACTGGCAAGCTGACAGGAATCGAGGAGACAGAAAAATGAGTCTTTTCCAGGTTGGCAAGATGTTAGGTGTGCCACAGGAATTGGTTCTGTGCCTTTGACTGTTCATAATTTTTATAAATAAATTTGATGAAAATGAAGCGATTTATTGCTTTTCACTCTTATTGAGAGCTAATTTAGTTTTGAAATATTTGCCTGATACCTTTGTTCATTGACTTCGAGCCAGTCAATCCTGCAAATGCTTCATTTTAGGTCTGGAGGATGAACAAAATTATCCACAGGGGAAGAAACTACCCATGAATATTATGTTCCTCCCGACAACCTACTTCATTCTACACTGCTACAAACATCCCAGATATTTTACAGGTCTGGTATTCCCCTATTTAAAATGCATATCTCCCCACTGAAGGAGTATATGAGAGAATAAGACTTGAGTCAGTTGTAACCGAAAAACTAACTGAGATGTCTTATTAACAAAAATTAGCAAGCAATACACTTTCAGTGGATAAAATGCCACACCAAGCAAAACAATCAAAAAAGTTACAATATCAAATCTAGTAGAATCTAGTTTGATATTCTTGAATAATTGAAAATGATATCTAGGAAAATTGTAGAATAGAATATCAATCAATATTTAAACTAAAGTTTACCTTATAGCCCCAGTGAGAATAGGGTATCTTCTCCCATTGGGCACATTGGGTTTCTTCTGAGAAGTGTTTTTTTAGGGTTTAAGCAACTTGTAAAATCTTCGATAAATGGATCTTTCTCATATGTTGTTCTGATCACCGAATGGTTTGTAAGTGTATGCAGTAACATTTTGTATAAGTTCCTCCCCACTTTCATGTGATGCTGTATTATTTAACATCATTCCTTAATTATTTGGTGAAATTACTTTGTTGTAGTTGTCAGCTTGTATCTAGTCAATTTATTTGTGATAATATTTTCCTTTAAATCTTAAAAGAATTGTTTCTGTTCAAGGTTTATCAATGGAAAGGATGTTTCATTTCTCCATCTTTAGTTCAGTTCATATTTCTACCTGTTTTGGACATGAATGTTATGGAATCATAGATCCCCTGTAATGTGGAAGCAGACCATTCAGCCCATCAAGTCCACACTGACCATCCAAACAGCATCCCACCCAGACCCAGACCCAGCCCCAACACTATCCCTGTAACCATGCCTCTCACATGGCTAACCCACCTAGCCTGCACATCCCTGGACAATATGGGCAATTTAGCATGGCCAATCCATCCAACCTGCACATCTTTGGACTGTGGGAGGAAATCAGAGCACCCAGAGGAAACCCACGCAGACACGGGGAGAATGTGCAAACTTCACACAGACAGATACCTGAGGGTAGAATCGAACACGGATCGCTAGCACTATGAGGCAGCAGTGCTAACCACTGAGCGACCATGCCATCTCAATGTTGTTTGAGCCTGGCATCTAAAATGATACTCATGTGATGTTCATTGTTATTTCTTATTCAATGATGCTCATTGTTTGCCATTTTTTGTCAATTGGATACTTCAGGTTTTATGGTTTCAGTACCTCTCCTGTAGTTAACAACTTAACTTCATGCCTAGATGTGATGGTGCCATGTCTCTTTACTAGCCTACATAACTTTGTAAATAATTGTTTGTAGCTTTTTGGTTTGTCTGAGCCGAGTTATAATCTGTCATATAATTTAATAACGTGTGTCATCTCTATGACCCCTTCCAAGTATAAACCACTTTCAAAGTGAACCTTCTGGGCTTTTCCTGGATCCAGAAGAATGAGAGAAGATCTTGTGTCCCTGCCCCTGGACCTGGAGGTCAGGTCCTCATGCTCCAGAGGCGTTAGATAACATTTGAACAGGCTGATTAGAAAAATAGGTTAAATTAGAAAAAATCTTCAGGGGCTTGACAAGATCGATGCTGACACATTATTTACTCTTGTGGGAGAGTCTTGGTCCAGAGGGCATAATTTCAGAGCAAGGGGTCGTCCAGTAAGACATAAACGAGGAGGATTTTTTTCTTTCAGAGGGCAATGAAGCTGTGGAATTCTTTACTGAAGTGGGCTGTTGAGGCTGGCTTGTTTACTATATTCAAGGTTGAGATCGACAGAGTTTTAACCACTAGAGAATCAAGGGGGATGGGGATACGGCAGGAAAGTGGAGTACAGGATTTTCGGATTTGCTATGATCTCATTGATTGGCAGAGTGGACTCGATGGGTTGAATGTCTTCTGCTCCTACCTTTTATTGTCTTTTGAAAGTGAAATTCAATACAAAAGTAGGGAGAAAAAAAATCTGAAAATATCTGGAGATGCTGTAGATCAGAAACAAAAATAGAAACTGCTGGAAAATCTCAGCAGGTCTGGCAGCATCTGTGGAGAGGAAGCAAGGTTTCAGATCCAGTGACCTTTCTTCAGAACTGAACTTCTTCAGTTCTGAAGAAGGGTCACAAATGTGGGAAGGTTTAGTTATGCAAGGTCTTGATGAGACCACATCTGGAGTACTGTGTACACTGTTGGTTCACCTTGCTCTTAAGGAAGGATACAGGTAAGCTGGAAGCTATTAAGAGAAGGTTCATAAGACAAACTGCCCAATACAGATATTAGTCTAATGAGGAAATTTTGAACAGGCTAGGCTTATATATTCTGGAGTTGAGAAGAGCAAGAGGTGGTTTGATTTATAGACACAAGCTGTTGAGGAATCTTGACAAGCGGGATGTAGACAGAATGTTTCCTCTTAAGAGTTGAGAACCAGGGGTTGCAGTTTTAAAAGTTTCAAGCCCCGGAAGACTTTTTAAAAAAAATTTAACCTATTTTTCTAATTAACCTGTTCAGATATTATTACATACCTCTGGAGCAGGTGGGACTTGAACTGCACCTCCTGGTCCAGGGGTAGGGGCACTACCACAGCGCAACAAGATTTCTATCAATAAGACCTTCTGTCATTATTCTGGAACCAGGAAAAGCCAAGAAGGTTCACTTTGAAAGTAGTATACACTGTGGTGTACAGAATCACCCCTCTAAAACAGACGAGAGGTCACAACAATGCCACCCAAAGGTTGCAGGAACAGCAACTCATATTCCGCTTGGGAACCCTGCAGCCCAATGGTATCAATGTGGATTTCACAAGCTTCAAAATCTCCCCTCCCCCGACCGCATCCCAAAACCAGCCCAGCTCGTCCCCGCCTCCCTAACCTGTCCTTCCTCCCACCTCAAGCCCCACCCCCATCTCCTACCTACTAACCTCATCCCGCCCCCTTGACCTGTCCGTCCTCCCTGGACTGACCTATCTCCTTCCTAACTCCCCACCTATACTCACCTTTACTTGTCTGTCTCCTCTCCACCTATCTTCTCCTCTATCCATCTTCTATCCACCTCCCCCCCTCCCTATTTATTTCAGAACCCCCTTCCCCTCCCCCATTTCTGAAGAAGGGTCTAGGCCCGAAACATCAGCCTTCCTGCTCCTCTGATGTTGCTTGGCCTGCTGTGTTCATCCAGCTCTACATCTTGTTATCTCAGACATTCATTTTTTCTGAGTGTCATGAGTCTTGGAAATACTCTTTCTGAAAAAGTGGTGGAAGCAAAGGTCCTTGAATATTTAAGGCAGTGATGGATAGATTCTTGGTAAATAATTGGGGTGAAAGGTTATCAGGAATAGGCATCAATATGGATTTGAGGTTAAAAATAGATTAGTTATTACCTTACTGAATGGAGGAGCAGGCCCCTGTTCTTGCTTCTTGTTTGTCTGCTCCAATTGCACCAAGACCATTTATATTAGAATACTGAATTCACCTGTTGGTGCTTTTATGTATTATTTCTGATCTTTCTGAGAGAACAAATTCTACTTCTACTACAGAATTACCCTGAAGGGTGGGAGAAAAGTCTGTGTCAACCCCAACACGCAATGGCTCCAGAGAGCTATTTTCAACCTCAATGAAAGGTAAGTTATTAATATTACCACTTATTGACGGGTGCATATGAATAATTCAACAGATTGTGATATCACTAGACTATAACATGAGCCATAGTTAGAGAGGCATAGACAAGCAAGAGTGTGTATGAGTAATTTAACATTGATTACACTTCCGAGCTCAAAATACACATAGCAAATCACTATAAAGGGTATCTTATTCATGAATACAAAAGGCAGGAAAAATTTGAGGTCTTGACAAGAGTGAAAATCAAAGATCTCAGGGCTTGGTGAGGAGACGGATGCTGAGTGTCTCGTTGAAGAGACTCTTCCAGCAGGCAACTGGATCCAGGCAACAGGTTTGAAAGCATTTAGCCTCAACGAAGCTGCTGAGCCTGTATTTACACTTGGGAGAGGTAGCAAAAGCGGCAAGATTACAAACCTGTGCAACAAAGGTGTTCAGTTTCCAATGTTATCCAAACACGCCTGTTTTTTTGTAACACTAAAATTCAGTCCATTACATCCATGCCGGTTTTGCCAGAGCAACCCAAAATGAATCTACTCGCCCAGGTTCTTTTCCTAGTCTTGTACTTTTCTCTGCTTCAAATGTATATTCAGCTTTCCCTTAAAATATGCCATGGTCTCCTTCTGGCAGAGCATTCAATGCTTCAACAAGCTTTTGAGCAGAAACATTTTTCTAATGTCCCTAAATGACAATTTTTACATTAGTTCAGAAGTCAGTATCAAGTATCAGAGGTAATAATCTGTGCCTCCTTTACCAAACCTCAATTGTAAAAATCTCCATTTAACTCTAATATTCTCCATTCCAGTGGAAATAGCCCAAACTATTTAAGTTTTCCTAGTTTCCCATCCTCGGCATCATCCCTATACCAGTCTATATTGTTATAGAAAACGCCAGAGACATAAGGAATGACCAATACTGCACACATTACGTCAAACCATAGCCTAATCACAGCTTCCATAATTTATTTTATGGTCTATTCCCTGATTTATAAATTCTAAAAACACGAAAAACATTTTGAACAGAATAATCTAGCCTCAGACAATTCTAAATCGTTATGTGTTTGATGTCACTGGTTTGACTTCATTCACATCTTCAGGATCTATCCATTATTCACACCCTCTTTCCACCCAGAATGTATTACTTTACAAAAATTGGATCCAACATTGTTCAGAAGTACAACATTTGGAGCACTTTTCCTATTTAAGCAAAATGAGTGAACACAAACCCCATACCTGTCTGTCACCAATCTTTGTAACTATGCTATTGCACTGCTTGTTGTCTTATGTGCATGGACTTTAATTTGAAAAGACTTTTGTAAATAACTTTTTCAAAAAGTCTCACAATAGTCCACATGGACCTCATTCACAGCAGTCTTATCTCTTTAGGAATATAAACAAGCGCGTTCAACATTTGAGAAAAATAATTTCTAGTTTTTCTGTATTTCTCCAAATGGTACTGCTTATTCATATAATAAATGACCCGATCTACTTCAATTAATATCATTTTTGTATTTCCTAGAGCAAAACATACTAAAGAATTTATTACAGAGGAGTCATCAACCTGATAAACGAAGGCCCCTACAACTGGGGATTCGACTATTCACTAGGACCCAAGCTTTTGCTGTTTAACACTTACTGTAACAGTCTGTGCCATGAGAGTTTGTGTTACCATTTCAATTGCTTGCACCCTACCAGAATCATATCATTCAGAGACCTAATATAACCCATTTGAGCAAATCGCTAACAGTATTTGTTGCTACTTACAACTTCTGAATACAAGGTTTAAAAGGTGTCAAAATATTTTTGAGCCAATAAATTACAGCATAAATAAAATGTTAATTTGTTCTTTTTTTCTATTTTCCACAAACATCCAAATCTTCATTATAGTCACACGTATACACTGATAGCAACTTTACAAGTTTCATACTGGTTTTCTAAAACTGAGAATGGTAGAATATTTGATTAGATTAATTTCTGGCTATGTTCCATTAAATATGATGTGTTTTGACATTGGAGAAGATTCTAAAAGATTGCGCGACTGCCAGTTACATTGTGTCATTAGATTATAGGCTAGCCAATTTCTGCATTAGAAGATGGGTCATGGCTTGTGCTTCTACATCAGGACTTCTTTCTTCAATATACATGACATGAGAACCCAGTGACTTATTAGAACTCCAGGTAGATGTGTGATTTGTAATTACTCTGTGATTTTACATTAGTCTATTTTGAACTCTGTTATATTCTTTTATAGATTTCTCATTGCCTTTGGTATTGTTAGCACTTGAACACAGGAACAAGAATAGGCCATTCAGGTCCTTGAGCCTGTTCCAACATTCAATAAGATCATACCTTATCTGTGGCCTGATTCCAAAAATCTGCCTTTGGCCGCTATCCCTTAATACCTTTGCATAACAATAATTTATGTATCTCAAATTTAAAATTAATAACCGATCCTGCATTCACTGCCACTTGTGGAAGAGAGTTCCAAATCTCTACTATCTTTTGTGTGTAGAAGTGCTTCCTAACATCTGTCCAGAAATGTCTGGCCCTAATTTTTAGACTCTGCCTCCTAGTTCTAGAATTGCTAATGCGTGGAAATAGTAGTCTTTATCTAGCTATCTTTTCCTTTGATCATTATCTTGAAGACTTTGATCAGATCATCCCTTCAACTTCTAAATTCTAGAGAAATTCATGTAATCTCTCGTCATCTTAACCCCTAAAGTCCAGGTATCATTCTTATAAACTTACGTTGTATTCCCTCCAAGGCCAATGTATCCTTCCTAAGGCATTGAGCCCAGATCTGTTCGCAATACTCCAAGTAGGGTCTAACCAGAGTTTTAAATTATTGCAGCATAACTTGTCACCCTGTGCTCCAGTCCCCTACATATAACAGTCAGCATTTCATTGGCTTTCTTGATTATTTTCTGCACCTGTTTGCAGCATTTTAAAGATCTATGTACCTGAATCCTCAAGTCTCTTTAGACAACTACTGTATTTAACTTTCTACCATTTAGAAAGTACTGGTCGATTTTTTTGGTCCAAAATAGATAACCTCACATCTTTTCAAAAAAAATTCAATGAGGTTTGTCAGACATGACCTACACGTGTCAAATCCATGCTGGCTCTCCCCAGTTAACTGGAAGTTTTTAATGTGTTCAGTTGCCCTGCGCTTGGTTATAGATGCCAGCAATTTCCCCAACACAGATGCTAGGCCAACTGCTCTGTAATTCCGCGGTTTTCCTCTTTCACTCTTAAATAAGTGGAGTGACATTCTTATTTAATATTTACATTGATCTTTAATTTTACAATGCAAACAACTTCAGAATTTGATCCTCTTTCTTTTCCTCCTAGGTATATATTTATTCTGCACTCATGAACACATTAGACTACCATATATAATTGCACAGAGCTTTGCCATTTCTGGAGCAGGCCCTTTTCTTTCACTCTGTCAACAGAGAAAAATGTTGTAATCGAACCAAATGACATTGTGATCACATTCACAGATCCTGTGCATAATTAGACAGTTGAAGCCTTGAAAATGCCTTCCAAAACAAAAGGTCAACTTATAACAGTGGAAAGTGCAAACCACCCTTGTTGATGTGGGTGGTCCTTTTTTGAAATACAGAGCAGAAAAAGCTATAATTCAAATTCAATCTTTTCATGTATTTAATTGATTTTGATTAAAAATATGCATATAGAATTAATTCAATCACAACATTTTACATCCTGTCAACATCATTGCCTTCAGCATCCACAGCAATGCGTTCATCAAGTTTGAGTCACTCTAGATAGGATAGAGTTTCAGAATCATCTCTCCACAATAAATCAGCTTTATTGCCATACACTGAATTGATAAATTCCTAGTTTTGCAAATGATTTGCTGCTTTGATTAAGACAAACTGTCAGGAGATGCTATGTCAAAAAGCCACGTAAAGCAAATTGTCACCCATTTGATGTACCACAATGGCATCAGATGCTGCTTCAGATACAGAATTTGGAGCTCAAGCTGCTGCAGTTGACAACTTTACCTGAATATATGTCGTTTTCCAGGGCTCAGGAAATGTTCCAGAGTTCCCACATGGAGCAGGATGGTGCATTTCCCTACCATTCCTCTATTGATTAGATAATAAAGCTTATTACTTAAAGACTCGTTGGCTACTTTTTATTTCCTGTGCTGTCACTTAAATACAGAGAAGTAAATTGAAATACTCTACTTAACCTTGTTATGAAAACAAACTGATCTTTAGATAATAAGGCACTGATACAAATAAAGTGAGCTTGGGAACAAACTATGTTGCTTCTGAGTTATTGTAACTGCACTGGAATCATCTTCTAACATTAATTCAATTTAGCATGAATCTTGTCCTAGGTTCCATTGAACCATGATTCAACAAGTCTTTCAAGCATCGAGTGCACACCCAATCCAGTGATGGCTATCTCACAACTCAGTGAGGCATCAATTTCAGTCAAACAGAGCGTGCCAGCTGTCTGCATGGCAAATACACACAGGAATATTCAACAAAACGATTAGGTTGCAAAGAATATCAGTGTATTTCCCCCAACACTAGTCAAACCCGAGTGGGCTGTTGTCAGTTAGAACACGAGGCAAGAGTGGACATAGAACCATTGGAAAGAACGCCTGGAGAAGTAGCAATGGGGAACAAAGAAATGGCAAGAGGAAGTAAATAGGCACTTTGCATCAGTATTCACAGTGAAAGACACCAGTAGAATACCAGAACTTCGAGAGAGTCAGAGAAGAGGTAAGTGGCCATCACTAAGGAGGTGGTGCTGGGGAAGCTGTTTCCTCCCACGGTCCAAAGGTGTGCAGGCTAGGTGGATTAGCCAAGAGAAATGCAGGGTCACAGAAATAGGGTAGGGGGTGTGGTTCTGGGTCAGATGCTCTTCAGAGTATCGGTGTGGACTCAATGAGCTGAATGGCCTGTTTTCACTGTAGGGATTCTATGACTTTATAAGAAATTGCCCATAATGCCCAGGGATGTGTGGGCTAGGGAAACAGTGGGTTACAGGGATTGGTGGGTGGGGTTGGGTGAGGTGGGGGTGGGGTGTTTGCGAGGGTCAGTGTGGACTTGGTGGACCGAACAACCCACTCCCACACTGTAGAGATTCAATGATGTGATTGCAGAGCACTTTGAAGTAAAATAGGGCTGAGTAAGCATGGCTTCTTTAAGGGGAGGTTATACCTGACAAATCTGTTAGAATTCTTTGGAGGTAATGAGCAAGTTAGACAAAGGAGAGTCAGTGAATGCAATCTATTTGAATTTCCCAAAGGCTTTTGACAAGGTGCCGCACAGGAAGCTGCTAAATAAGATAGGAAATCTTGGTGTTAGGGCAAGGTACAGGCATGGATAGATGATTGGCTGACTGGCAGAGAGTGGGGATAAAGGGGTCTTTTTCAGATGGCAGTCAGTGTTGGGACCACAACTATCCACGTTATAATGTGAACAGTCTGGATGAAGGAACTAAGGGCATTGTTGCTACATTTGCAGATGACACAAAGACAGGTGGAGGGACAGGTACTGTTGAGGAAATGGGGAGGCTGCAGAAAGACTTGGTCAGGCTATGAGAGGGAGCAAAGAAGTGGGAGATGGAATGCAATGTGGAAAAGTGTGAAGATATGCACTTTGGTAGAAAGAATGGACTATTATCTAAACTGGGAAATCTGAAGCAGAAAGGGTCTTGGGAGTTATAGTTCAGGGTTCTCTTAAGATTAAGATGCAGGTTCAGTTGGCAGTTAGGAAGGCAAATGCAACATTCGCATTCATTTCAAGAAGGATAGAGTACAAGAGCAGAGATATACTGCTGAGACTGGAATGTCATGAGCAGTTTTGGGCTCCACATCTAAGGAAGGACATGCTGGCATTGGAGCATGTCCAGAGGTGGTTTACAAGATTGATCCCAGGGGTGAAGGGCTTTGTCGTATGAGGAGTGGTTGAGGTCTGCAATCAATGGAGTTCAGAAAAGTGTAGGGGTGACCCGTACCCGCTTTACACGGAAACGGCCCATGTGTGAAAGACACAAAATGGCCGACAAGGTTTAGAACAAAATGGGACAGCCTGGTCTAACGTTGAATGAAACACAATGGTCCTTTAAACAAGACTACTCCAAGATCAGCAAAAGAGCTCTATCACCAGCCATTGGAGACAGTTTTGATAAGAGAATGCCTAAGAACAGCCATTCCAGCCTCATTAACGAAAGGATGATTGTCCCAATAAATGAATAATACCAAGTGTGAGTCCCAGCCCATGAGCCAGCTAGATTAACTCTCTTTAACTCCCTAGGCAGCTGCAAAAAACAACAACTAAAGTTACTTTGTAGTAAATAGTTGCTTCTTTGAAACTACCTGCAATATTAAATAGACTCTAGTTAAAAATTCCTTAATCATAGAAGCAGCTTTCAACATATAACCAAAGCATAATGCAAGCATTAAGGGAAAAGCATTTAAACACTTTATCTTACGCCCTGAGTTAGATTGTTCACAACCCATTAATTACAACGTGCTAAGAGTAGAAATAGCTGTACAACTTTACATTTTATAACTAACTTTACAGTAGAAATTAACCTTACAGCAATTAGTTAAAACTGATTATCTTTTGCATTTTTACATATATAATTAGGACAGTAGGAAATATTAGAGGAATGGTTGAATTTGATAAAATAAAGTGCATGTAGTACAATGAATAATAGAATTCACACCATCCT